TTTCAATCTAAAAATGTGCATTATTGAGTATCGTATGCGACGGACATCGCGCTGTACAGGAGTACATAACTTCTTGCGTATTTTCACTATGGAACTACGCAGGGTAAAAATGAAACATTTGTAATGTCTATACCAATAATCCTTCATGTCTGTGGCGTTGCGTGGTTTATGTGTGCTAGCAGCCACAGCGTCATATAGTGTCGTCAGATCGGTGAAATAATAAAATATTTTGTCGAGATCTCAATGAGATCTTGACGAGAATTTTCAATAATCTTGATCTTGATGTGGTAAATCTCGATATTGATCTCGAATATTATAAGTAATCCCGATCTCGAATCTCGTCTCGATTTCGAGACGAGATCGAGACGAGATCGAGATTTATCTCGTCTCGTGCGCATCTCTAAGGGGGTGGGACGAAGGGCGAAAGCGAGAGGAAAAGGAAGACGACGAGGAAGAAAAGAAGGAACGTACAGTAAAGAGGTTCCAGCCGGAGAGGTTTCACTCTGGAAACAGGTTTCTGATTGTTGAGAGAACCATGGCATCCAACGTCTTCCATACTCCCGGAACATGAGCTCGAAGATCTGGGATATCTACGCGTATCATCGTACATCCATCGATTTCCTTTTACTCCCGTCGACTCAATGACGTCAGAAAACGATTGATTCACCGAGAGATCAGACGAAAGAGATCGGAGATATTTATCTGAAAAAATGTAGATCAAATTAGCTTTGATCATTTCCAGGAACTAGAATCAGATGTGATGTACATTTTTATTAAACCCGTATCTTAGATTTAAAAAAATGTTTTACATACATATATTCCATTATTGTCCATTACAATATTTCACATTCGCGCTTCAATATAAAATGATAGAGATTTTAAATGTCTCTTATTTTCTATTGTTTCAATTCTATCGTTGGCGATGTGAATTGAAAATTGAATTATTACTTTCATTATATTCGAGATTGAAACAAAAGCTCGGAAGTTATCCGAGTAATATTTGAAATTTTCCTTTAAAAACGCAGATTTATTCTTGCAAGAGAAACGAGATCAGTTATTAAAGTTAGAATATTTTGTCATTACAAAAACTGATATTGCATTTCCTTTTGGTCATGTTGCTTAATTATCGAATTGCGATTATCGAATTGGCAAGGAAAGATAACTCACAGCGGATAATGCATCAATTGATAACGATGATGATGATGAGGATAATGAGGAAAATAATGATAATGATGATAATGGCGATGATGAGCAGTGGTAGTGGCGATGACGGTAATGACGAAGATGTTGATCTGGAATGGGTGTCGGCCCACTTTATCGCTTCATTCTCGCGGAACGTACTTCCATAGCCGCTTATTGGAATCGATTAAAAGTCAATTACCACCATAAAAAACTTATGGGATCAATTTCATTGTAAATAGTTTCGACTTATATCCGCCCCTCCTTTGTCGTGTAAAATATGAAAAATCTGAATACATGACGAGATCACATAAAAACGGGAAGTTTGTAATTTACAAAAAATAGCGCCGTATATAAATATATACTGTAAGTATATTGTTTTAATATATTGCTCTCTCTCTCTCTCTCTCTCTCTCTCTCTCTCTCTCTCTCTCTCTCTCTCTCTCTGTCTCTTACTCTACACATACATAAATATTTTTATATCACATAATATGATGATTGAGATAATTATTGAATTATTCGAAAAAAAGATAATCCATGTTAATTTATAGCATACATGTTAATATACAATATTTACAAAAAAATCTTGAATAAATTAGGGTATTATAATCTAATCTAGAAAATACAAGGATTATCCATTTAGATTTTCTTTATATTTTATATCTTGTGAAATATGTATTACAATTAATTATATACGGATATAAATCTCTTTGTAGCTATTCTCATTTGGAATTACTCACTATTTTAAATATCAATAAGTTTCAAATAGCTTTTAATATAACAAAAGTGTTTGTTATTAAATTTTATTTATTTTACTATTTACGTTTATTATTTATTTTTTACTATATATTAATTACTACATGAATATAAGTATGTCAACAACCGAGACAACTTTTTATTCATTTTTCGTGCGTTAACGTAAACTGTGATACTCGTGCGACAGCTGTAACGATCATGAAATTCGATCATGAATGGAGCGTATGTGCCGAACGAACGCAAAAGAAGCGAACGAATGCGGTCGAAGATTGGCAGCTGATGTCGCGACGGAATTCAATTCTGCGGTTACGATCGAGAGAATTTTGGTGCGCGGCTCCCGCGCACATACGATCGCCCTTTGATCGCATTGATCGCTTCTCCCCGCATTGCCGATGGCCGTTCACCCGCTCACCGAATCGGGGATCTCTTGTTCTCGAATCGGCGCGGATCTCCGCTCAACGAGGTCTCGTCGACACGATCGTAAATACTGGCGGGAACTCATGTAAGAAGTTCAAGCCTCCGGTCGGGCTCGGAGCCGAATCATTTTTGTTGCCGTGCCTTCGCCCTCTTTGCCTCCCTCTAAGAGCCCGCGCTTCGTGCTTCAGCTCGAACGGCTAACATCGTTCTCCGTCCGTCAGGTCTGGTCTGGATAATTGTTTCGAACTTCTTTTCTGCCCCGAGAACGTGCACCTTTCTCAGACAACAGCAACTGTTAGAGGGATATTATTGAAATACGCATACGTTTTATCTATGCACATATACATATATGCATATGTCTGTCAGTACTTTTTACAGGTATAGAGTTTAATCGACGAGCGCAATTGGAGTTACATTTTTTTTTTACTTAACACACATAATGGTATTGTTGTCCAACAGAAAATTGCTTACGCAAGTTAAATAATTATACACGTAGTTAAAGTATACATCTGATAATCAGCTATGTAATTATTTAATTACAGGGCTTCATGTGTCGCGCGTAAGTGCTTTAAGTGCTTATCGTTAAGAAATCACTTTCTTTTATGCCCATTTACCTTTAAGATGCATTTATATGTGACTAGCTTTAACTTCAATATAAAAGTTGCCGAAGTAACGATCAATGTGCACTTTAAAGGTGTACTGTTATGTTTAAGAATCGTCGTTTCATAGCGAGGTGCATCCTGGTATGGGGATCAAAATAACAAGGAGCGTCTTATTGTATAATTTACGAACAATGACGCAGATAGATTATTAATAGTTAATGGTTTACCGACACCGGCGGAGCAATGAAAGCGTTTATAGAACAGGCTTTGTAACGGTAATATCTCTCAACCATTCATCAGCGATCGCACATATAATTGTACTAAACAAACGTATATATATACCCGGCATTCCTCGGCAAATACTGCAATTTGCATATAAGGGGCACGTAAAAAAAAAACCGATCGGCGGATCCTTTCACTTTTGTGCATACGTTCGATATTTTTCAAGGTCGTCTGTTCGCTTCCAAAGGTTCGATGGAACAGTGGTACCACAAATGGCGAGAACGTGGGCCGCTCGCTTCTTGTCCGTTGCTTCACGTGCAGCCTATTACTCAACGTCGCCGACGTAATTAGCATAATAATATCTGTAACTCGCGGTTGCAGCGGTAACTAATTACCGGTATATTAATCAAGGCATTCGACGCTGGAGCCCGGCCAATCCCAACTATCTGAGATGCCAATCCAATTTATCTGCGCGGCATTAGAATGTCAACTGGGAGAGACAGGCCGGCCATTACGGCACTCTTCAAAGAAGTGAGAAAATAGACAAGGCAGGCTTTTCAATAGCCGTTAAAGTACAGAAATGTTGCTCGGTATCGCGTTACAGCCGGTTTCGGTTGATTGGCTCAACATGTATTTTACTTTCGCTCGCGCGCAATACTGTGCGTTTAGATGGCTTGAATTTCACAGGCTTCAGGCCGGATACTTCACGAAGAAACTGCCTTTGATACTTGAGGTTTGTTATTCATTTACATTTTTCGCGCCTCCTCGCTCAACGTTTATCCTTGGGCGACCTTGGACATGTGATTGGCATCGTGGAACGTGTCAGATCGATAGGTACGATAGGAATACGATTTAGCCGAGAAGAATAGACAAGTTCGAGACATGAGCATGGCTGTATAGCGTATAGAGAAAAGGAGGAATAATTATTTTGGCACCGTCTCAAGGTTAATTTTGGTAACGTCACTGTATTCTCTCTCTCTCTCTCTCTCTCTCTCGGAAGAGCA